TGGAAGATCTGAAAATATAAATTAATACCACTATACAAAACATAATTCTGAAAAGTCAAAGCATCAGACAATGAAAGAACTGTACAGTGAAGCTTCAAGTGTAAATGCGGGGCTACAGTACCAAACAACAAAAAAATGTTGTTTCCCCAGAGATCCTCTCAGGTAAGACCAGCCACATGTTTCAAATAATCAAGATTTAGTTTGTCTTCTTGAGACGGTTGGAGGTAAATGAAATAATGAAGGCTCCTTCTTTCCTAGTTGGTTTTTATTTTTGACACGGTGTTCATTCTTCTGTTGACTCACTGCAGCTTTAATTCGCTCTCGTCTCTGATGTCCTGATGTGTTTCCTTTCGTCTGCAGAGCCTCGCTGCACGTGTGTGGGACTCTTCCACGGTGAGCAGTGTGGCCTGGCTAACAACCCCTGTGCCTCGCAGCCATGTGCCCACGGCAGGGTGTGTGTGCCAAAGGCTCAGGGTTACATGTGCAACTGCTCCACGGACAACATGGACGCAAGGTAGACACGTCCACGCTTCCTTCATCCATGTCAATAATAATCACATTTTTACCTGTAAGATACTGTGACGTAATTAAACAGATTAAGGGTTCAAACAAGCACAAAACTTCATTTTTTAGAWTTAACTGAATGACTAAATCAGTTTAATTCAGATTATTTATGGAGCTCCAGCTGACAACAGAAGTTACCTCTGGGCAATCAAAGACAAAAACAAGTTCAGATCATAAATCTGACGCAACATCATGCTTTCAAATCTAATTAGTTTATTTACTCTGTTAGATWAWTTACGGTGCATTTWGAACMGACCTGGGGTCRGATTTATAAAACTGGCGTACGCACAATTTGAGCCCAGAAACTTGCGTCCGCCACTTTTCACACCAAGGTTGTGATTTATAAAATCCAAACTTGACGTGAAAATGTGCGGTGCCTCACAGCTCTGACCCATGTGTACGCTCATGTTGGAGACGGGAAACTGCGACACAGATGGTGAAGTGAGGAATTAGAGCCACACTGTGTAATGATCATTGTCAGATGTTTAATTTACCTTCATCAGACTTAGATTTTTATTGAACTTAATCATCAGCTTTCTTAACAGTAATATTTATGCTTCTGCTGCTGAGCCATGAGGACCTTTGAAATAAAAAAAAACTTAAATCTTAAATAAAAGTTCACGCATCTCCATCCCTCCTCCTCAGACAACCCTGACCCACAGACCCCTCCCCGACAAGACACATTTCAACAGCACCACATCACGCTTTGGGTACGTGCAGGGTGCGCTCACCCTCACC